GTGTCGTTCTAGAGGCCTCAGTTCCGAAACTGCATCAGAGTGCAGTTTCAGGTCTCACAGTAGCATCGCTGCAGCCGATTTTAAGGCCAGAAAATTTGCGAGGAAGGAATCGCAACAGGATGCAGTTCTGAGGCTGCGGAGTTGTGGAGTGTAACAGCGTGGAACTCCACAACTCCGCAGCCTCAGAACGCATCCTGGCGATTCCGATTACGAGCAAATTTTCTGGCCTCAAAATCGGCTGCAGCAATGCTACTGTGAGACCTGAAACTGCACTCTGATGCAGTTTCGGAACTGAGGCCTCTAGAACGACACTTCTCAAACTCATATCCTCGATCCTCTCAGCTGTGTTGTGGCGCGGTGTGGGCGTTTCTGCCTATGAGAGAGTGCGGGCGCCCACAGTGCGGGCCAGTGGCCACCGCCAGCAGCGGGGCCGTGACGGCGGAGGTCGTCAACCTCGCACCCGTCGGCAACGCGAAGCTCAGGCTGGAGTGCGGCTCGGGCGAAGGGGAGCTGGAGGCGGCCTCCGCGGGCGGCGTGCAGCTTTTCGCCCCGAATCAGGCCATCTTCCTGCGCACCTCCTCGGCGGGGCAGGATGGAGCGACACCAAGCGGCGCTGGAACTGCGACGGCTGGCGGAGGACTTTAACGTTCGGGATGCCCGGAAGCTGCAGGGGCAGTCCTCAGGCAGGATGTGGCCCGGCAGGTGCTGGCCCCAAAGCCGCGGAGCCTCGGCAAGAGCGCGGCCGAGGGGCCCAACGACCGGCTGGCGGACCTGATCGACTTCAGCCAGAACACCAGGAGCAGGAACAAGTACGGACTGGTGGTGACGGACGTCTTCACCAGGGAGGCGGCCACGAAGGCGCTTCCGAGCAAGGACGCGGAGGGGACGCTGCCACTTGCTACTTTTGCGACTTCCGCGACTTCCGCCCACGCGGAAGCTTACTACTTTCGCTACTTTTGCTAAGCTGCTACCCAGCATGCGGGACGCTGCCACAGTCGAAGTCGCGGAAGCAGCGGAAGTCAAAAGTAGCAAAAGCAAGGGTCTCGAGAAAGGACCTTGCTACTATCCGGTAGCGTCGGGTAGATTTTGCCGATGCAGAAGCATCACGAGTGTTGCGGATGAGCATCGCGAGGGCTGTGGATGAGCATCGCGAGACGGGTGGTGGACGAAGCGTGCTACGGGACGTGCTGTGAATGCATCCCCTAGGTCTTGCAAAAATGAGCATCTACGGGCTGGAAATGAGCCGCTGGATCAGCGTCAGATGAGGCTTGTTTACGGATATGTAAAGCGCGCTTGGTGTGCATGGGGTCCATCGACTCCTGCGGAGGTGTTGGGAATCCACACAGTTTCAGCATTTTAATGTGTGACGCAGAGGCGCGGCGGTAAACAAGAGGGGTGTAAGCGGCCAGCGCCCACATCTTGCCGTCGTGCGGCTCGACCATGTGAAAGCGGTGGCGAGCGTTGAAGCAGATGGGAGTGTCGTGCACGTCTAGCCAGGTCCCTCGAAGCTCTTGCACCCCCTTGTCTTTGGTTGTTAGCTGAGCTGGGCAATCGTCCGAGGCGTCTTCGAGCCAGACTCGGCCGCCCGAATAGTCGCCGAGCCCGATCGCGCAGTTCCGGTGAATGGCCGAGTTGTGAATGTCCCGATGCAGGCCCACGCGCGGATTCAGAAGCACCGCGATGGAGGTCCAGGCGCCATCGGGAAAGCGGGTTTTCATGAAGTGGTTGATGGCAGCGCAGGCCGCGGTCGTCTCGCGTGTCACCTTGGACACACCGAAGAAGCCCCCATAGCCGTACATGCCCAGGGTGGCGTAGCGGTCGTAGTCCCCCGGCCCGACGGCCCCCGTCTGCCGGCCCCGCTGCCTCCATCCGGACGACCAGAGGTCCAGCAACCGCACCGCGTTGTGCTCGGTGGGCTCTTTCATGACTGCCTCGCAGGCAGAGGCCAGAGCTTCTGACATTGTCCAGTCTTTTTAGGAGCCAACATGGGTTCAGCTGAGCTCGCGAACGGCCCTTGGGGCTGATCGCCAGCGGTGCCCTCTTCGGGGCTCCCTTCGGGGCGGCCTTCGGAGCCGCCCTTGGGGCAGCGTTGAAGTCCTGCAGCCGCCTCACGGGCTGGGGCACCCCCGGCTGCGTCAGCCTCTGGATGGGTTCTCCGCTGGCCTTGGGCACCGGCTGCACGTGCTTCAGCAGGCCGTAGTGCCATCGGTGGCCCGCACCGTCATGGAGTCATAGCTCGCGAGCTGCTTCACGGGCCCGTACTGCGGCTGGAAGCTCCTCGCCGCGTTGGTGGGCGCCCGGAAAGCCCCCTGAGTCAGCTCCTTGTTGTGCTGGAACTTGTCAGCGTTGTCCTGCAGCACCCTGAATTGGGCTGCTGCTCCACGTCCTCGGGCGCCGCGTGCACCGCCTCGTGTGGCCTGCGGTTGTAGGCCAGCGTGGCGTCCTCCACGTGGTCGTCCCACTTGCCCCCGTGCCGCGCAACGTCTCCTGCCAGGTCCTTCTTCAGGGTCTGGATGGTTCGGTTCACCACCGCCGTGGCGTTGCGGTCCTCAGGGCGCTTGGTGCGGTGCACCGCGGCCTCCGGCAGCGCCTGCTCCAGCCCGAAGAACTCCCGCCCCTCGTCCGTGGTCACGACGTAGTTGCTCTCGTCTTGCACCAGCGCCGGAATGAGCTCCCGAGGGTAGCGCAAGTGGCAAGTCCGCGTGGAAGGCAGCGATGCTCTTTCGCCGCCTTGGCGATGCTCATTGACGGCGCTCGGAATGCTCATTGGCGGCACTCGCGAAGCCCAACGGATGCTCTCGGAATTGGCGTCGGTCGCGTGGCCCTCGGGTGCTCATCGGCGGCGCTCGCGGCGGTGCTCGGGATGCTCATTGGCGGCTCTCGGAATGCTCGGGCGCGGTGCTCGGAATGCTCATTGGCGGCGCTCGGGATGCTCCAGGGATGCCCTCCAGACGCTCATTCGCAGCTCTCGGGATGCCCAGGGATGGCCTCAGGGGATGCTCATTGGCGGCGCTCGGGATGCTCCAGGGATGCCCTCGGAATGCTCATTCGCAGCTCTCGGGATGCCCAGGGATGGCCTCGGGATGCTCATTGGCGGCGCTCGGGATGCTTCAGGGATGCCCTCGGGGTCGCACGGACGGCGCTCGCGATGCTCATCGGCCGGTGTCAGGCGGAGTAGCAGCCAAGTAGCAAGCGGCAAACCCAAGGAATTGCATCCACAGAGCTTCTTGTGGACAGGAAATGCAAGAGGTAGCAAAAGTAGCAAAAGTAGCAAGGAGTTCGGGGGCCTGTGAACCGGGCAGGGTGCGCAGCGGGCAAAGCTCACCGTTTTTGAGCGCGTTACGCTGCCTGCCTCGAGTTGCGTGCCGCGCTTGCTTTTCCACTTCACAAGCTTCTCTTGTTGATCTTTCTCTCCGAAGCTCTTGCTACTTTTGCTACTTTTGCTACTTAACTCCAAGACATCTTGAATGCAAGTGCAGGGCGTCTGAGAGCGCAGGAAATGCTTGAATCCTGCAGGTGGCAAAAGTGACAAAAGTAGCAAGTAGCAAAAAGCATCAGAACAGTTAGAAGTGGCAAAAGTAGCAAGAGCCAAACGCAGCAGAAGTAGCGTGCACGGCTCTCAGCCTTGGAAGCTTGGCTCGTGGCTACCTTTGCCCCCCGCTACTTTTGCTACTTTTGCCCCCCGCTACTTTTGCTATTTTTTGCCCCCCCCCCCAACTTCTGCACCTCTATCTTATGCAGGACCCCCCCCGCCCCCGTGAAGGCTGTGCACGGACAGCCTCTGTGAAGATGCATTCCATTACATTTTTGCCTCGAGGTAGCGGGGGTCTGCAGGAATGCCGCCCCGGGGTCTCCAGCCCGCATCCCTGCAGCAGCCACCCCGCCGCGGAGATGCATTTTAGGGCACTTATTGGGGGTGAGCGTTCCGACGAAAATGCCTCGAGGAGCAAGATTCTGGGGGGTCCCTTTTCTTTTTTCCTTTTCCTTTTTTTCTTTTCTTCTTTTTTTTGGTTCCAGTTCCCTTTCTGTTCCCTTCCCGTTCCCTTCCTTGCTTCCCCGTTCCTTCTTGTTCCCCCTTCCCGTTCCTTCTTGTTCCCTTCCCTTGACCCCCCAGAATCGCGACGAAGAGGCATTCTCATTGCGAGCACCCAAAAGTGCCCTAAAATGCATCTCCGCGGCGGGGTGGCTGCTGCAGGGATGCGGGCTGGAGACCCCGGGGCGGCATTCCTGCAGACTCCCGCTACCTCGAGGCAAAAATGTAATGGAATGCATCTTCACAGAGGCTGTCCGTGCACAGCCTTCAGGGGGGCGGGGGGGGTCCTGCATAAGAGAGAGAATGTCACATTTTCACACCCAGTCCGGACGCCGAGAGCGATGGCCATCTGAGGTGGTATGGGAACGCGCACGGCTGGGCATGACCTGCATTGGAGGCAGCTCTTGCTTATCAACCACCACTCAGGGATGCCGTCCGGAATGGGGACACCTCTGTATCTTGTCATTGAGGTTTGGGCCGCGAGCCACATCACCCGGACAGCTTCCTGGATTTGCCGGTACTGCAGAACACCTTCGTCCTTATCCTGAAAGGAAGGAGGTCACCCACTCATTTCGGAAACGTTTTGGCTCATGCTTGGAAGGTGTGGTGCTGATCTCCTTCCAATGCGCATCGAAGATGACTGTTCGTACCGTGTCGTGACCGTTTGACACTCGACTGAGGCATTCTGAGAGCATGCTGTATGTTTTGCAACAGACCTGAAGTCCTGAAGCAGTAACCAAGATGTTTTGCATGTTACTTTTGCATTCTCCTTTGTCCAAACAAAGTTGAGATGTCGTTTGAAGACTTGAAGCCTTTGCTCTTAGAGAGAGCACCTTTGCTGACTGAAGACAGTGCAGCTGAACATTGACGTGTTTGGCTCAAGTGCGAACAGTAAAAGCAGTCTGCGCTAAAGCTCTGCTTTTCACATGGCAGCGGAGCGTCCTGAAGAGACGTTCCAGGAAAAGCCATGGCCCAAGTTCAGGACGCGTCCACAGTGCCAGTACCTGATGTGAGCCCTGAGGAAGAGGCTTTGCTGTTTGGGTCTCAAGGACAACCGACAGCATCTGCTGGAGGAGCGACCCTTTTGCGTCGCCTCCAGCAACTCCAACTCAAGCTCATGCTTCGCCTACTGGAAGCCAAGTGGGTGGAGGACAAGCTGGAAATGGCCTTGGTGAAGGCAACTTCCAAGCCATCTTGGAGATGCTAAGGCAGCAAAGTCAGGCCAACCAGCAGAACCAGCAGTTGATGGCTGCCCTCATGAGAAGAATGGATTTGGAAGAGAAGCGTCGAAATGAGGCTGAAGAGAAGGCAGCGGAGACCGCACGTTTGGTTGCGGAGGCTGCAGCTAGAGCCAAGACGGAAGACCTGTTTGCAGCTGCACCGAGCACACCTTCTGTGCCGTTCGCAGGAGCTACCTCGTCTTCGAGCTCTGTTCGGAGCCCATTGGTGCAGAATCGGGCGGAGAAGCATCCATCTCTGCCGATGCTAGAGCATCAAGGCATGAACAAGGGCAGGATGCGAGAAGTCGAGACATGGCATGCCTACCTGGAGACACTGTCATCGTGGCTTGCTCTTCAAGATGAGTCTTTCGTTCGAGAGTTGCAACTCTGCGTCAAGCAAAAGAATGAGATCCTTCAGAAGGATTTGGCGGATGATGTTGCTGCTCGAAGTGCGAAGCTTCACTACTATCTCACCCAATCTCTCTCACGTTGGGAAAGAGGTCAGGAGTTGCTACGCTCGTGCTCGAAAAGGCAGTCTCTCAGTGCCTGCGGATACGAGGCTGTGAGGACCATCACGCAGCAATACAGCATCGTGTCTCGCATGGAAGCTGTCTACGTGCGGGAGCAGTGCCTCAAGTTGGCGACTACGTGCCAGCATCACCGACGGCCGACAGACCTCATCCGTCACTTGGAGGACGAGTTTTCTCGTGCCGAATCCAAGCTTGGGAACTTTCCAGAGTTGCGTCTCACGGAGGCTGACCGCTGCAGTGTTTTGCTGCAAGCTCTGAGCCAGGAGCTCAGACAGTACGTCGTTCTTCATGGAAAGAACGACTGGACATCGCTGAGCGATAGCCTTCGGTACTATGAGGAGCAGCTTCGTCTGTGTGAGGGTCCTTTTTCCTCAAATCGGCAGATGTCAGGAAAGGGTGACAAGCTTTGTGACCACTGTGGACGAAAGGGACACCTGGCTAAGGACTGCTGGAGCCGTCAGCGTGAAGCCGGTGAAAAGGGCAAGAAGGGCGACAAGGGCAAGAAGGGCGATGGCAAGGGAGCGCAGAATCCCAAAGGAAAGCCACGCTCTCCAACGCCGAAAGGCGGAAAAGGCGGCAAAGACAAGGAGCAGAAGCCCGACAAGCCTGATAAAGGCAAGGGCAAAGGCAAGAAGAAGAAGGCTAGAGCCCGGGCTATGGGAGAACCAGAGTCCGAGGCAGAGTCCGAGTCTTCGAGGACCTCCACCGTGATGGCGATGAGGTTTGCCAAGCCTTCTGCTGTACGAGAAGTACTGAGCCAGCCTGAGCCTGAGAAGCCTAAGCCCGTAGAGGCAGTCCCTAGACCGGTCGCTGTAGGGCCGAAAGTCACTGTAGATGAGAAGGTAGGCACCCTGACTGGAAGCACCTCGAAGGGAGATGCGGCATACGTCTGCGCTTCGCTGCAGGTAGAGCATCGTGATGTGTGGCTGGTCGATAGTGGAGCCACATGCCACATCGTCTCAGCAGATCATCTGGGATTTCGTGTCTGCAAGTACCATGATCGCACGGTGACGCTCTATAGTGCCTCAGGAGACATCATAAACGTATCGAATGTCGTTGATCTGGAAGTTCGTTTCGGCGACGTTTCGTTGACGTTGGAGGACGTCCTTGTGGCGGACGTGCCTTTTAATGTGGTATCTCCGTGGTCCGCGTCGGAACGGGGCTGGAAGACGCACCTTGCGCGCACCGGGTCTCGCATTTACAAGGGTGGAAAGAAGAATGTCCGCCTGGTTGGGGCGAAACGGGCCTGGTGGGCGATTAGCGGAAAGAAGCAGAAAGCTCCTAAACGCCCATCCAAGGGATCGGACATGGAGATCGACTCTCTTCCTGTTGACAAGGAACCCAGGAAAGACATTACTGCAGGACCAAGCATCCTGAAGAAGACTTCGAAAGAAGCGAAGAGTGATGAGAAGCCTGGAAAGGACGAGAAGTCTATCCGCCACGTCTTTACGGGAACGCCGTTTGAGTTCATGTTGCGCGGTTTGAGGGCTGAAGTTAGGAGTAGGTCCCTGGAAATTCCTGAAGAACACGCCGGTAGGAAACAGCACGACATGATCTGTACTAGGAAAACGCCTGTCCTGAGTGGTGATAGGAGCCTGTGTTCCGAAAGTCTGGTTAGGAAACTTCATGATTCTGTTAGGAAATGCCATGTTTTTGTCAGACAGCAACATGATTTTTGGCAGCGGCATGTGTGCGCAGTTTGGAACGTGATGTTTTTGCTGGCATGTCTTGTGAAGGGGTTGTGTTTGAAAGGCTTTTCGCTTCTGATCTTCGGCAGTGAAGGTTTGAGGTGTGCCCTTAAAGGAAGTGAGTGCCCCAAAGCAACCGAGCCAGGCATGTTTTGCGTTAGGAAGCCCAAAAGGACCTCAAAAGGCTTGAAGTGCGCATGTTTGTCCGCAGCCATTTTGCTTGTTTGCGTGTCTTGGTTTTCCCTGAGGGAAGGTACTGAGCATGTCGGAACCGCCAATGGAGGTGGAGCAAGATTCCCACAACTCTCCAGCGGAGAGTGCCGGGCAGGAGGTTGCGTTTTTGAATGCACCAGTAGAGCCTGCACCAGCAGAGGCGGCGCCAGTCGAGACTGCGGATGCAGAGGCTTCAGCTGCCCCCTTCAATGTTTTCTCGAGGCCTCCGAGTCAAGTTGCAGTACCTTCGCCTACGGTGGCTGCATCAGAGACAGGAGAGACAGAAGAGGAGGAAGCATGGGGAAAATGGAGGGCAAGCAAGGCCAGGCCTTCGCAGCCATCAGACGAGCCGTCGCTGATAGTGAAGTGGAGAAGCATGCTGAGGGGACCGCGCTTCAGGTATTTCATGCAAGCGATACGACAACAGCGAGAAGATCTTATTGCATGTGGATACCCTGTGCCGGCAATTCCAGAGAACAACCTGGAACCTGCAGTTCCACTTATGTCTATTGGAGATGGGATCGTTTATCCTTCCCGTCAGGGGACCATCTTTGCGTCATTGACAGATGCTTTGATGACCGACGGCTACCTCCTCGAGGTTGGGCAGAAGCTCCTTGGGCGGATCCAACGTCCAGACCCAGATGTGGGGCCGTGCCTGGGAACGGGTTGGTCCAAGAGGCTTCGCGATCACGATCCCGATCCTCTGGATGGAACGCCCTACATCAGCGCGGAGGTTGCGTGGGCGCTGTGGCTGCCCGAGTTTCCGGAAGCCCCGGATCATGGAGGCATCCTTCCGGTGAAGAGAAAGAGGGATTTTTCCCAGCTCACCGACGAGTTGTTGGACGAGCATACACAAGGTTCGAACTCGCGGGTCAAGGCCGCACTCTTCATCAACGCGGCGTGCGTGCAAGGGACGCGCGTGCTGCTATCGAAGGATATACTCCCGATCCAAGTCACCTACGCCACCAGAGTGGCGGGGACGTGGCTGCGCTGGGTTACATCAAGCGTATCCTCAAGGTCCTGACCGTTTACGAGGCCATGCCGGAAGCGGAACGCAACCTTTTGGCTGGAATGTACCCAGACGACGTCGAGCTCCAGCTCGAGTGGGTGCCAGGCTCAGCCATCAGGCATGGGTGGCGTGCGTTAATGGGGGCAATGGATCAGCGCACCCGGCGCTATATCGAGTTCGAAGCAGAGGTCCGAAAATGGGAGGACTTGCAGTCCGCTCGACCCAAGGTCAAGGCCAGAAGAACGGGTGCAGCTGCTTCCACAGATACTGGAGGTGGAATTGGAGCGATGAACGAAGGCTCGGAGACTGGAGCCATGAACGAAGGCTCGGAGACAGAGTCTGCCGAGTCATCCTCGGCAAGTTCGTCGGACGAATCGATTCCAATGGGGGAAGACATGATGCAGAGCCGGACCAGAGTTTTGGCGCTCATCGAAGCGGAGAAAGCCTTGAAAGATGTGGGCTCCTCTGCGCCGCCCCCACCGTCTCCTATCCTTATGGAGCCATCGCCGGTTGCGACGGACGGGTACAAGTTCGATCCAGCATCTCTAGGAGCCCCTCTGGGGGACACTGCAGCTCCATCAACACCGGTACCTCCTTCGCCTTCCGCAGTTTCATTGGCCCCTTTGGAGTCATTCAAGTTCTTGGATGTCCCACCTGTTGCTTCTTCTGGTCCCTCGGACCACAGTGTGGAGCCTATGGTGGTGGAAGAGGAGCGGGCCCCAGAAACTCCAGGACCCACGGCACCGGTTGGAGCTCCAATTTCCGCAACGGAGAGTGTGCCGGAGACCCCTCCTCCAGGGGAAATTCCAGGTCCCGGTTATGTCCCGAAGGCAGCTCCTGGGGAAATTCCAGGTGCTCTGTCGAAAGCCCAGGGGGCACCAGCGGGGGCTACACCGAAGGCCTGGTCTGTGGTTCCAACTTCCTCGCCTTTGACGGTTCCAGAAGCGCCAGTGGCTGTAGAGTCTTTGCCTGCAGTTCCAGAGCCAGCAACCGTACAGCGGAGGAAGGGCCTACCTCCGAGACCGCTACATCATCCGCAGCGGGTGCCCTTCCGCCTCCGGGCGGCTTGGGTCAAACAGCCGAAGAGAGGGAGTTTGTGCTTCCTTCCCCTTGCCAGAAGAAGTGAAGGCCTTAAAGGCTGTGCGGAATTCTTCCTTTTGTGGAATTGTTTCTGAACGCGCCGATCGCATGTCTTGCGCGTTGGAAAAACACAGTGTCTTTCAGGCTTGTTTGGACTTGGAAAGAAGCATGAGTGAAGCAGTTGAACAGACATGTTGCTGTGTGAGACTTGCTTGGTTAGGAGTGTGCGAGCTTGAAGGTCCCTTGAAGAGAAGCCCAAAAGAACTTCGATCTTCTCGGCAGTACCCTCAAAGATCCGAAATACCCTCAAGTCCGCGTTTAACTAGCCCGAAAGAACGTCGATCTTCTAAGCAGTACCCTCAAAGATCCGAAATACCCTCAAGTGTGAACCTCAGAAACGCCACGAACCCAAACCTCCTGAACATGAGTCATGACAGACCCCTGCCGGCCAGGAGTGCTTTGTTTTGCATGCCAGGAGAAGCATTGGATGTTTTCGCTTGCTTGGCGATCTATGTGATAGCAAGTCTCTTGGGGGGTTCGTTCTGGTTAGGGTTTCGATTCTTGAAGATGTGTTTGAAAAGGTTTCGAGGAGTTGGTGACTACCCTCAACTTGTATCCCGAAAGTACCGTTTACACCATCGTCGTAAAGGAGTCCGAGTGCGAATCAAGACTCGTTTCTGTTATGTTCGAGTTGATGTAGAACGTACTCTGGTCTTTAGCAGGCACGTTGTGAAACCAACTTGGAGCTCAGGTTTTAAAGCCTCTTTGAAGTTCGCATGTAAGGCCATGTGCTTGGGCCTTTGTCTCGACAGGAACTTGTGGAGCTTGTTGGTGTGCATGGCATGGTGTTGTGCTTGGAGTGTGTGTGGTTGTTGTTTGTTGAGAAGAAAGGGCGATGATGAAAAAGGGAGCAGATCCACTTCTGAGCACAGCCACTTGAGAGTTGTGCGTGGACTGCCCCTCCCCGGTAAGGGGACGCAAGCTGAGCCCTTAGAACTCGATAGTGACATACCACGTTCTTCAGAGAGAGAAGAGAGAGGAGAAAAAGAGAGTCCGCTTCCGAAGCCTCAAGGTGCTGAACCACCTAAACCCCCGGAACCGCCTGGAGGTGCAGAAGTTTCAGATAGGATACCTCTGCGAAGTGTGGCTTTGCAAGTGCATAGATCCAGAGGTCATTTTCCTTATGATGTGAACTGTGAGGCCTGCACCTCGAGTAAAGGGAAGGTTCCTGCGAGACGCTTGCGAAGGCGTTTGCAACGCGAGGACCAGACGATAGGAATGGATTTCTACTACTTCGGTCGTCTTCGTGTGCTGCTTCTTGCACATTGCTCTTCGAACTATACCACGGTCATCCCGGCCATGAATTTGGATGATCCGGATCTGTTTTACAACATTGGACGAGTGATTCGCGAAATGGGTCTTGTGAATAAAATGGTCACAGTGAGATGTGATCAGGAGTCGGCTTTGATGTCTTTAGCCGAAAAATTGACTACCCGTACAGGTGATGTAGCTGTTTCTGGTGTCATTGTGGACGTCGTGCCCGGGTATCGCCCTCAGTCAAAAGGCGCTATTGAAAGACAAGTAGAAACTATGAAGCAGGGATTTTGGGCAGTGTGGTTAGACTTGGAGAGAGAAGTTGCGCGGAATTCCGCGCCGGAAGACTGGAACAAGAAGCTTCCGCTGGGAGGAATGCTCTGGCAAGCTTGTGTCCTTTACAGCGCCAGGTGCTACAACCTCTGGAGCTTTAGTCACCAGGACGTGACTACGCCCATTGACCGGCTGCACGAGGAGATTGTGCATCGTACGAGGACCCTGCCGTTTGGATGTCTTGTCTACGCTAAAGTAGGGGGCTCAAAAGCGCATCAACAGAAGTACAGGGGAAAGAAAACAGTGAAAGCTGTGTATCTAGGGCCTAAAGAGCCTAGAGGGGGCGGTGTCTTTGCTGCTCCAGTGGGTCAGACTGAGATCGATATCTTTCCTGTCTGTAGGGCCTTAGAAGGAGCGAAAGGTGAGCCTGTCTACGACGTAGGGGCCATACACGCTCTGTCTACTTCACAGCCTCTGGTTCTAGACCCAGCGGATCCTGAAAGGCCCATCATGTTTGAGCCACCACCTGATCCGGTGAAGTCAGAAGACCCTGACCCGGGGTTTGAAAACGAAGATGAAGAGATGGTACCAGATGATCCTGATCCTCTGAATGATATTCCGTCTTACGTGGAACCCACAGATGATGAGGGGGAAGGCGGACTTGGGTCACCGGAAATGCAGCCGGATGACCTAGAGGACATGGAAATTGACTGGCTAACTAACCATCTGTTAGAGTCTTTGTTCAAAGGACCGGACATTCTGGCCACGTCTAAAGAAGTAGCTGATTCGTTTACTCTCAAATTCGGAGGGAGTAAGATCAAGTGCCAAGTACCCCGAAACGCCGTTTCTGAGACCTCAGGTGAACAGTTAGACCCTGAACTTCTGTATGCTTCGATGAAGTTGGAGCTTGAGGAACTCGAGTCTTTTGGAGTAGGAAAAGTGATCTCTGAAGCTGAGGCCCGCAAGTCGGCGCGAGAGAGCGGTCGGAGGGTTCTCACGAGCAGGTGGGTTAACACGATCAAACGTAAAGGTCTTTACCGTTCCCGCCTCGTTGTTAGAGATTACGCTTCAATGGGAGGCACGACGCTTTCAGAAGGCATCTACAGCCCGACTACGAGTTTAGAGGGTTTAAGGCTTCTTTTGGCATTGCTTTGCAAGAAAGGCTCAGTGTTGAGCTGTGACGTGAGCGTGGCTTTCATGCACGCTGCAGTGTCAAGGCCAGAGTACGTAGAGCTCCCAAACAATGTGAGTATTGCGGACTCTTCTGTTCCCCAAAAGGCAGGAAACAAGAAGGTGTATCTTCGTCTTCATAAAGCGATGAACGGATTGAGATCGGCACCGCTTTCTTGGTATAAGGAACTGAGTTCGTACTTGGAGAAGAGCGGATTCAGTCCAAGCCTGGACCCTACGATATACCGAAGGAAGACGTCGAAGGGTCTGACGTTGGTACTGTTCTATGTAGACGATTTGCTGATCTACTCCGAGGACCCATCGGAAGGTAAGAGAGTTTTCGAAGGACTGCAGAAACGCTACAAGCTGAAACTGACTGGAGAGCTTCCTGAGAATGGTGCGGGGGAAGTTTCCTTCTTGGGTAGGAGAATATTCCGACGTTCCGGAGACAAGCGCGTCTATTTCGGGCTAGATAGCAAGTACCTAGACGCGTGCTGCTCTGAGTACAATATAACCAAACCGAGCCCCAAACTCCCGTCGCTTGAAAAGCGATACTCCGACCTGGTTCGAAAAGGGCAAACTGAAAAGATTAGCCCGGCCGCACACGAAAAGTATCGTAGAACCCTTGGTCGGCTTGCATGGGCAGCCCTCTCCCGACCGGACCTGCAATTCTGTTGCGGGTTTTTGGGCCGGCACCAGGCGGCGCCAGACGAGGCTGCTGAAACATGCATGAGAGACGTCCTTAAGTGGATAAAAGGGCTTCCGCACCGAGTACAGGTGTTTCCATCAACTCGGGAGATCCTGGAAGATGATGCGGATCCTCAGGCGGTTTCCTGTTTTACAGACGCAAGCTGGAGTTTGAATTCGGTTAGTGGTGGTGTGATTACTTGGGAAAACTGCTGTCTGAAGACTTTTAGTTTAGCAGAAAGCAATCAACCACAGCCCTGTCCAGCGCTGAGAGTGAGCTCGCGGCGCTCACGGAGATAGCCAGGGAAGGTCTCTACATTGCCCTCTTGACAGAGACCATCTTGGAAGGCATTCCGCAGGACAGGGAGACCGGTTACTATCTCTTGAAGGGTTACTCTGACTCTGAAAGCGCGGTTTGTATCTCAACAATGGGAACATTGCTGAGGAAAGTTCGCCATATAGAGTTAAGAGCCGCATTTCTCCAGGAACTTGTGGATCGTGGAAGGTTCACGATTGAGCACATACCGGGGGCCATCAACCCCGCAGATGCTCTAACGAAAAGTCCCACGAATGACAGTTTGGCAAGCTTGTGTGAGGCTTGTGGCTTGACCACCGAGCCGGTTGGCTGGGAAGAAAAAGCTTCAGGCACTAGCGTTTCGGTTACCTTTAAAGAGCCCAATACCTGCGACGAAGTGCTCGCAATTCCGAGCTCGTGGAAGGACGAGGCCTACAGAGTTGCTTCTGGGGAGGCCACCATGGTTGTCTTGGAACTCTGTTGCGAAGAGGAAAGCGCGATAGCCCAAGCTTGTAAGCGGGAACGTGACATCGCGTACTTTGGAATCACCAAGAAGCTAGACTTGCTGAGTAGAGAGGCTTCTTTGTTGCTAAAAGGGATTCTGGAAAAGATGGCTTCTAACGAAAGAATCTACGTGTATGCACATTTGTCTACACCGTGCAGCGCAGGTAGTGGCCTTAGGCACCTGCGTTTCTCAAAGGACGTGAAGAACCGGGCGAGATGGAGAGCTAGTCTGGAGGTACACAAGAAGTCCTGGAGACGCATACGAGCAGTTTTCCAGGACTATGCTGGCCACGAGAGGCTCCTCCTCTCCCACGAATGGCCTAAAGGGTCTGGCCTTTGGGGAGAAACAGTCTACAAGTCAACAGCGAAAAGACTGGGACTCGAGCACGAGTGTTTGGTAGACCGGTGCTGTTTCGAGGAAGCTGGCAACCGTATCCTGAAGCATTGGTGGTTCGTCAGTTCGGATTCAAGTTTTATCTGGACTTTATCCTCTTGTGTTTGCCCAGGAAACCACGAGCATGCGAGTGCTACTAGCATAGCAGCGACAGGCGACAGGTGTCTATCCGCAGGGCTTAGGCCGATTCCTGGTGAAAGAAGCCAGGAAAAGTCTCGAAAGACGAAAGAAGGACTGACCGCGCAATAGGCATGAGGGGGTGTGAAAATATGACATTTCTTTGTTTGCCTAGTTGCTTGCAGGTACATGTGTAGGACATGAGTGCTGTGACATGGCAAGAACATGTTTTGTTTTGGCATGAGCATGTTTGCATGACATGAAGGTGCTTTGACTTGACATGTTTTGGTTTGCAAGTCCGAGGATGAGTTTTGGGAAGCACAGAGAGGCTTTTAGCTCTCGGGAGTTGACCTGAGAGTCATCTGGAAGTGCTGAAGCAAAGCTCTGAGGAACAGACTTTGGCCGTTACTCACTCCGTGTGCCTTGCCCCGTCGTTCGTACCGTGTCGTGACCGTTTGACACTCGACTGAGGCATTCTGAGAGCATGCTGTGTGTTTTGCAACAGACCTGAAGTCCTGAAGCAGTAACCAAGATGTTTTGCATGTTACTTTTGCATTCTCCTTTGTCTAAACAAAGTTGAGATGTCGTTTGAAGACTTGAAGCCTTTGCTCTTGGAGAGAGCACCTTTGCTGACTGAAGACAGTGCAGCTGAACACTGACGTGTTTGGCTCAAGTGCGAACGGAAAAAGCAGTCTGCGCTAAAGCTCTGCTTTTCACAGTCCGACACCGCAGAGAAAAGATCCGCGATGTACTGCGCTGTGGTAAGAAAGCCATACCCCACCAGGGACTCCGAAAGCCTTGCTTTGTCCAGCTGCGGGACCGGGCAATCCAACATTTCAGCAAGGTCGAAATGCTGCAATGCCCCCGACAATCTAAGACACTGCGTGATGATAGGGTCATAAACCTTCAAATACGCCGCCGGAAACGTTTCAGGCAGATGCAGTAG